TTTGACATGACGGATCCTTTTAGGACAGAGTAAGACAGTGGTCCAACTGTCGCCTCGCAGAAATCGGGCTTGCAGGGAAGTAATAGTTATTCCCGCTTTTGGATACAGGTTTCCGGGGACTATCTCCGGTTTTTCCTGGGCGTGCAGGTTGGTTTCGATGACCGGGGGTTTATTTCGGGTTTTTTGTTGTTGTTTTTGTTTTTTTGTTTTTTTCGCAGTCAGACTTGGAGATGTACATTTTTGACGTACACATGTAGCATTGTTTAGCCCGCATTATCACGGGTATATTTTAGACGTCATTCTCATCTTTTTGAAACGATTTTGAAATGTATATATCTAGTTGTGTATAACGTTGTATATTGATTAAACGCCCACCGTCCTACGTCCATTCGGCGAGCTAGCGGCAAATAGTACATTTGTGTTGGTGTGAATTTTTTAAGTAGCCGAGTGGAGTTAGAATATGTGTATTTCAGACATTTGTAACGAACCCCTGTTGATCAGTGCAGTGTAACAGACGATATTTCTGATAAATTGCATGAGTGTTAAAATTGTTTCCATGCCGGCATTGGTAATTTCAACCGATGTGCATTTTGTACGATATTGCAGACCTAGTAAGTATTTTTTTTATAAATTCTTTTTTCTTTTGAACGTAGATTACAATTACATTGTCAAGTCTCACAATGCCCAGCGATATTTCAACGGCCGTCATATTTATTTACATTGGATATTGTAGTTCCGGTCAGTGTTGTATTAATACGCTAAGAATTGTGTCTCGTGCTGCATGGTAATTAAAGTCCCATCAACGACACAGCTTTCAAAGAGGCTATATAGTGACAATGCCATGCAAATGTAAATATAAAACGGGAGTTTCATATTTCCCCGCGAACACACATTGTTCTCTCTTGTGTGTTGCCCTCATAAACAATAAAGAAAAATAGCTGAATTTGTTTTAAATAGTTCTTTTTTTTTCAAATATTTTATTCCCCCAGCCATTTTTTTCATAAATATGTATATACATATACTGCTTCCGAGCAGATATCTATATACATTTAAGCATTGAACTGTTTTTGTATGGTATTTATGATCTATTTGAATGACACAGCTTTGCAAGCAAACAACATAATGCCATGATTTTATTATTGAATCTATGCGTATTATACTTGAAAGAAATGCTTTTTGTTTCAATGATGTATTTTATCATCAGAAAAAAGGCACTGCGAGTGGTCCCAAAGTGGCCCCTACATATGCAACCCTGGTATTTGGGTTGCTAGAGGAAAGTTTATACAATGTTATTGAAACGAAGCAAAGACTTCCGTGAATTTATTGAAAAAAACTTTCTACGTTTTCTAGATGATTGTTTCATCATATGGCCAGCTGACTTGTGTGTAGATGAGTTATTTAGTGGTCTTAATTCTTTGAATCCTTCTATTCGTTATACTATTGAAGTGAGTGAGTCTTCGTTACCATTTTTGGATGTGCTTGTCATTTTAAAAGACAATATTGTTTCTACTGATATATATACAAAACCTACAGATTCTCAAAATTATTTGAATTTTTATTCAAACCATTCTAAACATGTTAAAGTAAATATTCCTTTCAATTTAGCATCACGTATCGTTACTTTAGTGAGTAATAAGATTACAATGAAGAAAAGGCTTGATGAACTTACTACATTTTTGAGATCTCAAGGATATCCTGAAAGTATTGTTGAAAAAGGTAAAAGTATGGCAATTGAAAAAGGACTTTTTACAGCCCGCACTCGTGTTGTAGATAATATGCCTATAATGCCATTTGTTTCAACGTTCAACCCTCGTAATTTCAACATATTTCCAGTAATCCGGAACAGATGTGAAGATTTGAAACGAGGTAGCGAACGTATGAAAAAAGTCTGGGATCGTTGTGCTTTAATAAACAGCAAAAGACAACCAGAAAATCTTAAACGTATTCTAACTAGATCAAGGTTTGAAAGTAATCATCTTAATGGATGTGTATCAAAATGTAATACACCTCGTTGTGGTACTTGTAACCTAATTATAGAAGGAAGTGATGTTAAGTTCAAAAATGGTTTTAGCTTTAAGGTTAAAAAGCATATGAATTGTAAGTCCAGTAATGTAATTTACGCAATGATTTGTAACAGTTGTTCTGAATTTTATATCGGTCAAACGGGCTGTGAACTACGAACAAGGATGACTGTACATAGACAAAAAATACGAACAGAGAGCTTAAGATTTTTACCAGTTAGTAAACACATACATGCTTGCGCTGATGACAAATTTAAAATATTTCCTATTTCAAACGTGAGGCTAAGGAAGCTGAACTCATCAGACTTCTTAGACCCCGCTTGAACAGTACTGTTTGACAAATATTTTATAATGTTCTAACTTTATGTTACGCCTAACGGCTCGGGCACTATACCTCCCCAGACAACACTATAAGAGAACAGTTTCCTCGGGAAAGGGTCATAATAGAATAATAGTACATGGTTATGCATGATACATATTCTAAACGCGTTATAACGGGGAAAATCATGTTATTCAGCTAGCTTGTACCACGCGTAAAAACAGTTTCTGATGCGCAGTACCGGTACGAGGATACTAAATAATTAATTTAATAAAAATGAATTAAGGAAAAAAAGGTAAAGGACTAGGGGCGTTAAGGGCCATTTCCAGCTTCCTCGGATATTTAGGTTTAAGTGTTATACTCGTATTCTGGAATAAATGAAGTACGCAAATATGATGTTAGCAGAAGTCCGTTTATCAGGCAGCGAGTCCATTACAGAATAAATAACTTAAAAATGACAGAAAATGAAAAGGGAAATGAATTGATTTTAAAGAAAAATGTAATTTCACCTGCGTGTGAGAACCAGGGTGTCATGTGTAAAAAAAAGATGTGGTCCCGAAATGGCACAATTATGAATATTAGAATAATTTGAATGATTGTAATAAATATCCGTCCAATCCTTTCCTAGCTTTAGTACCACGTGTTTTATGACGTTAACCTGCCTGGTTTGAATTTTAGGAGTGCATATTTTCATAAAAATAGAAAGTAAACATATTACTTGCCTGCATAAATAAGGGATACACTAGTCAATGGAAACGTTGATCCATATGAAGGGACCTGGAACGGTTGAGTTTGGAAGGCGGTCGGATATCTCTGGAAGGTCGCCATTGTCTGAAAATTGCAGTTTTATATAATTATGCAAGTATTGGTATAATATTCATAATTCAAATCAAATAAAAACAGTAACTGTGATTTGCACATATAAAACCAAAACGAGATTATTTTTCAAATATTTGTAGTAGAGGTGGTTATGTTATGAATGATAGAACAATTCCTCTGGGTTTTGTTCAATGTTAGTGTACAAAGTACAAGCTAGTCATAGACATAAAATAGACACGTAATCATATTTAATAGTACAAATGCAAGGGAAATAACTCTTACACGATTACATAACTTTACCCTTACAAATCTAGTATCAACGATAAGACAATACACATTACAATTACAACTTTTATGAAATACAATCAAACTGAAGATTTGACTCAACACAAAGTTACTGGACAATATACTAAATTCACAGTTAGCAGTCTAGCGACATACACCTTCTCAAATTAATACTATATATATACTTTTACAAAAAAAGACTATAGCATACCTGAGTGTGGCACAAGGCCTTGGCTACAATCTATTTGTACGATGACTTCTTTGATCATATGCGATACGGATATACTGTAATTTAAATAAAAGGCATCTAAATAAATTTATCGAACCCTAGCCAAATGAGCACAACGTAATAACGCCTCTTACAAAAAATCAAATTACATGACCTCCATTATAACGTTTTAATATAAAAAAAATACGTTAATCATATCTGATTTCTTATTAAATGAATAACAAATCATCTATACTTAGATTAGATCCAAATAGAATTATCACTCAAATAAAACACATAATACATAAACGTTGGGTATTACACAAAGACAATTACACTTACATTTACATCTCTCCATCTGTCACATATGAGGCCTCAAAAGGTACTAGCGTGATTTATTTGCCCACAAAGAAACACGCACCAAAACTGACCACCCATGAACAACTGTATGGTATACCAACGTATCAACATACGTAACGAGCAGAACACCACAATACACATGTAGACGTAACATCACAGCATAGAATACAACACACAGACACGGTAGTTACATTACTGGGAGTATGAAATATATACATGGACAGTCGACGTGCTACGGACGGACTTAGTAAACAAACATACATAAAAGCAAATACATTAATTCTGTCCCTGTTACATATTTATGCATGAATACCATTGATAAAGCTGTATAAAATAAATAAATAGCTTAATGAGTCCGGCAAACGGCAGCTGTGCATGGTATAGGAGTTTTTTTAACCGGAAATGAAGTATGTGAAAGTGAAAGTAGAAGTTCACTGTCAACAAATATACGACTAGTTGTAGCGGGATTTACATTATTTTAACCGGAAATGAAGTATGTGAAAGTGAAAGTAGAAGTTCAGTGTCAACAAATATACGACTAGTTGTAGCGGGATTTACATTATTTTAAAAAGAAATAGGAGGTTTATAGGGGTAAGTGGTGGAGAAAGGGTTATTAATATGTATTTCACAACGGAATGAAAATAATTCCTGCATGTATAACTTACTGTTTAGTCATTAAAATGTTTAGATCTGTATTGTCTTCCCTGATTTTCTTTTATTTTCAGTAATTTTATTAAATTGAATTACTACACCTACAAAAACGATCAGAAGCCTTTGATAGCGGGTTCCTGAATTCAAACACTCAAAACAATGCTTGTAAAATTACTTATGGAAACTCTTTTTAACAATAAATTTATGTGGATTAAATGTTTATATTATATATTCGCAGACATATTACATCAATTTTCACAATTATTACACATGCAATTCACAAGAATTTAAAATAACAAATTTACTTTAGGTTATGGACATTTATTTATTGTTTCAGATTGGTAATACACAAGCACAATACCCATCTTCAGTGTCAATAATTACACCTGTATTTACTATTACAGACAGGTTATGAATTTTTAATCATTGCTTCAGACTGGTTATAAATTTGTGTTAACTATCACAGACATGTAAGAAAAAAATACTGATTGCTTCGACTGGTTATAAACTTATAATTATCTTAACTAAGAATCCATCTTATATATCAGCTGAAACGACAACTCAACACCCGATAAAGGTCCATTTCCCAACATCTGTGTGTAATCCGATGGCAAAGCGATTTGTGGGATTCCAGCAGCAACAAAGAAGGAGAATCAGGCGATTCTACGTACATGGAATAAACCGACAAATATCCTCAGAAGCTGCCATGCGAAGCTATCTTGAGGAAGCTAATGTGCGCGTTACTTTGTTAAGGTATTTTGAGAAACGATGGAAGAACACGGCATCAGCGCAATTGAACATAGTAGCGGAGGACGCAGATATTATCAGCGATGATTCGTTCTGGCCCGAAGGGATCCGAATGAGGGAATGGCAGCCACGCGAAATTTTCTTGAGTGAGCACAGATATGTCTGAAATTGTTAATGCGATGTGTTGGAACATTGAAGGCATCATGTCAGGGACACCATATCTAATAGACTGCCTTCAGAAATATGATATTAATGTTTGTGGTATATCTGAGCACTGGTTACGCGAATTTAATATGTCATTTATGGACACATTTAAATCTATTGGGTACAGATGTATAGCTAAACCAGTTTTTGAATTAGACCCTTTTAAGTACAAATGTAGCATTAGAGGAGGAGTTGCTCTGCTGTATAAAGAATCCTCCTTCAGAGTCCAAGAGATCGAGGTTGACAGCCCGAGAATAGTAGGGGCTGAGATAACAATATCTGATGACTTAATTCTGTATTGCTTTGTTGCATACATGCCTGCTTCTTCGAGAACTATAGAGTTATTCATAGAACACGTTGAGCTTCTAGAAGGTCTGTATTCTGTTTACTCCGAAAAGGGGAAGGTGATGTTCATAGGGGACATGAACGTTAAAATTCAAGGTACTAGGTGTAGCATAATTGAAAATGAAAGATCGAACATTTTTCAAAAGTTTTTAAACCGATGTAATTTAATATCGGTGAACGTACAGGATAAGTGTCTTGGGCCTCATAGTACTTTTTTCCCTCAGACTGGCAAATCAACACTTATTGACCACATAATTATCGAATCAAGTATGTTTGATTTAGTAGAAAGTGTGTCTATTTTGAAAGAAAATGATTTGAATTTGTCAGAACATGTCCCAGTGATAAGTTCAATACTGATATCAGCCAATGTAACATTTAATTATAAACGTCCTGATAAACATACACGGTTTAATTGGAAGAAAGCAGACCCTAATGCTTACAGAGCAGCTTTAAATAAGAATTTGTCTCATATCAATGTTACAGAAACTGAGAATAGTGAACAGGAATTGAGTCTAAGCAAGGAATACATAGAAAAATATCATTGTGAAATTGTCTCTGCAATAGGTAATGCTTCTTTAGAATCTATACCGACTGTAAGGTACAAGCATTACCTAAAACCATATTGGAATGACCAGTTATCTGTTTATCATTGTAATATGAGATTAAGCAGACAAAAATGGGTCGGTGAAGGTAAACCAAGAGGTGGGAACTCGGAAAGTTTTAAAGAGTACAAATTGATGAAGAAAGAATTCAGGAGAAATCTTAGACAAGCTTTTGATAAGTATATGTCTGACCAGTTATCAGAGATTGATCAATCAAACGAAATAGATCAAAAACTGTTTTGGTATCTATTTAGAAACAAATCCATGAAACAGCGACCTTCTCAAACAGAATTTACATGTGACGGTCAAACGTTTAGAGACCCAAAAATTATTGTAAACAAATGGGCATCTCACTTCGAAAACATTTTCAAGAATGACTGCAATAGTTTATTTGATGAAGATTTCAAACATGACGTTTCGAGTAAAGTAAGAGATATAGATGTCCAAATCTGCGAAGAGGACAAGTTTTTGAAGAAATCTGTTACTGTATCTGAAATCGAAAATATATGTAAAAAGTTGAAAACAAATAAGGCAGGAGGTCTAGACAATCTTGTTTATGAACATTTGAAATTTGGAAACTCGTTGCTATATGTCCACCTATCAAAATTGTTTAATGCCGTAATTAAGTGTCAATATATACCAAAAGAGTGGAAAATGGGAACAATAATTACTTTGCACAAAGGAAACGCAAAACCTAAAGATGACCCTAATAGTTATAGGGGAATTACTTTGTTACCAGTCATTTTTAAAGTTTTTGAAATGATTTTAGCTAAAAGATTAGATTCAGTTCTTAATTGTAACAACTTTCCGAATAAGCAACAGTCAGCATATCAAAAAGGACTATGCAGTTTGTTAACTGCATTTAATCTGCAAGAATGTATACATTATAATTTAGAAAGAGAAGAAGATGTTTATGTGGCCTTTTTAGATAGTAACAAGGCATTTGACACCGTATGGCATGATGGTTTGTTGTATAAGCTAAATGAGATCGGTATCACTTCAAAGACATGGCATATTTTGAAATCAATATACACAGATATAAGAAGTAGTGTTATATTTAATGGTTTAAGTTCAAGATGGATCCGTATGGAGAGGGGGATTTTACAGGGGAGTGCGTTGTCTGCCAAAATGTATCTTGTATTCATAAACAGTTTATTAGACAGTATTGAAAAATGTGGGAAGGGTGCACTTATTGCCGATTTAAGAATTAATATACCAACACAAGCAGATGATATATGTCTGGTTAGTACACAGCGTAAAAGCTTACAATACATGCTCGAGATGTGCGAAGCGTATAGCAGAAAGTGGCGTTTCACATTTTCTGCAGTTAAAAGTAAAATAGTGTATTTCTCTAGAAAAAAGAAGCGAAATCTTAGTACGAAATTATATCTATATGGGCATCTTCTTCCAGAAGTTGAGGATATAACACATGTTGGCGTGATGTTGAACTATAATTTTAATAGTATGGAACGTACAGTACGCGCATGTAATAAGCTTAAGAGTGGTGTCATGAGTTTAATTAAAAGTGGTGCTCATCCATGTGCATTAAATCCTTTAACGATTAGTAAAATACTGAAATCAAAAGTATATGCTTCAGCCCTATATGGGTGTGAATTATGGTGTCTTCAAAAAACCGAAATTTTAATGTTAGAAAGAGCACAACGTTTCATTTTAAAGTCAATTCAGGGGTTCCATACAAGAACCCGTACAGATATGTGCACAGGCCTTCTGGGTTGGTTAAGTTTAGAAGCATACATAGATACCAAGAAATTATTATTGTTTGGAAGATTATGCAACTTGGAGAAAAACTGTATATCTTATCTTGTGTTTTTTACTCGTCTTTGTATGGCAGTTATAGGGACCAATGTGTATAATAATGGATTTATGAATGAAGTAATTAGGGTACTAAAGAAATATGATTTATACAAATTAGTACAAGAATGTTTATCAAATGGAATATTTCCAGTGAAAAGTATATGGAAAGCGAAAGTAAAGCATAATGTACAGTTATATGAAGAAAAAGGATGGAAGGAGAGAATGAGTGGTGACCGCGATTTCTGCAGATTTATATTTGTTCATGATAATTTGGCTCCTCATATATTGTGGAAATTGTTAATAAAATTTCCTCAAAACAGAGAAGCCATACATAGTATAATGAAATTGATTGTATCTCTAAGACATTCAGAAAAAACTGAATTATGTCATAAATGTGGACAAATGTATAACGATATATATACCCACATAGTTTTACAATGTGATTGTACTGAAGACTTACGAGATCAGTTATGGTGTCAAGTCATTAATACATGTGAACTTATGTTTAGTGTATATTTACACTCTCATTCAGACTATGAATTATTTCACCTACTGATTGGTGGCAATATAACGTATGAACTGAATACATTAGAGTTAACAGAATTTCGTATGGCATCAGTCAATCATATTTCAAAAATGCTTAATGTATACTTCGAATGATTATTCAATACTTTTGGGTATATCATTCTTAACATTATTAATT